CCCATCTTGAGGAGTTTGCCCCCTCACATATACTAATGTGCCACAAACAGGACTTTAATATCACCAACCATTCCCATGTTGTTACGGTGTATCCATATAAATGGCCCACCCTGTACTTTTAAATACTCTACGAACAACAAGTAAGTCTGCAGTGTGAGAGCGAAGTGCTCTGATGGAGTGATATGGTACTACAAGGTCATTAAGATAAGGTGAGCGATGTTCCAGTGTATCATGTAAATAAGTCACTGATTAAAAAAGAGAGCAATGAAGCTTCCTGTGAGCTCTGTGCACGTCACAGTGTTAGAAAATCAAACAATATATAATTATTACATGTAATTAAATACTAGGATTTTATTTATAACCGTCTGCTCATAGTTTCAGAGCAGATGGAGTTTGTCTCAGCTCTCATTGGCTGAGAGGCCTTTGGGTTTTACCCTGCAGAGCGAAGCTGCTCTAAAGCTGATCAGAGATCAGCAGGCATGAAATCGTGATCCACTGACCAATCAGATCTCCAGACCTCAGTGCTCAGAGAGAAAGAGAGAGGGAGGGTAGAAACATAGATCCTTAGGATCAACTTGATCCCTTATTCGTCCAAAGCAGTTTCTTTGTTGTGTGGAACAGCTCACCCTCATATGAAGTTTGCATGTTTGATTTGTTCTTTGGTTTCTCTCAGACAGTTTAACACAGCTGAAATAAAACGGACTGTTTCCACTGGTTTCCCAGTATAACCAACCAGTCGCACTGCTTAGTGTGCACTTCAATACTTACATTTATACAGCGCCAAATCACAACAACAGTTGTCTCAAGGCGTTTTTTTATTGTAAGGCAAAGACCCTACGATAGTACAAAGACAACCCCCTTGATCAAGCGCTTTGGCGACAGTGGGAAGGAAAAACTCCTTTTAAACAGGAAGAAACCTCCAGCAATAGAAAAGAGGAAAGCAAAATAATTTGCTGACTCCAGCAAAAGTCAGCAAATAGTCATAAAGTAGGGGAGGATTGTGACACCAGGGCTGCAGTTTCAATGGAAGCTTCGATCCTCGTTTGACACATCTGGTTTCAAAACACCAAAATGGCGACGGCAAAAACGCTCGTCACGTGACATCCATCTTTTACACTGTGTATGGATGTGTTGGGCTTCCTTTGGAGGCTGATGGAGACAAAACACAGAGCAAAAACACACTGAATGCTGGGTCACGTTGGCATGGTATCAGCGTCAAAGGTCAGTGTTGGTCAGTGTTGCGTTCACAGGTGGAGGAAATGATCGGATTCTGTCGGTTTAAAGTTGCAAACTCTGCACCGTGGAGCCACTTTAAAACTTTTGGTGAATTTGACCCCCAGAAACCCAAAACCGGGGTTGCATCACCACCGTGACGTCCTCCAGTGTTCTGCAGTGGGTTATGAAACTGTGTGCAGAGATAGTGGGCCTCTGTTTGTACCGAAGAAAAGGCCAATAAAGTAAGAAGAGGAGGAGTGAAGAGGGGAGAGAGATTGATAGAGTAATGCTTGCTCTCTCAGTGTGGACTGATGGACCAGATCCCCGCTAAACATTTTGTTTGGATCGGAGCCCAGTCCTGCACACTGCTTTCAATTATCTCTCTCCCCTCTCTCTCCTGCTCGCTCGCTCGCTCTCTCACTCAGGAGTGTTTAGGGAAAAACCGAACTGGGAGAGGGGAGGGGGGAAACGTGTTTTCTTCTTCCTTCCTTCCCTCCTTTTTTCCTGCGACGCTCGTTCGCACTCCACCACAGAGCAAGAAAGAGAGAAAGCGGGGCAGAGCCAGAGCGCCGAGGTTTGGGAGTTTTTTGGCGATGCATCACGCTCGCAAACTTTGACTCCAAACACTCGACATGCGGCGACTCTGCTGTTTCCTGTCACTGTCCTGCTCCTTCATCTTCTTCTTCACCTCCCTTCTGCCAGCCGATGGACAGACAGCAGGAGGAGGAGGGGGAGGAGTAGAGACGATCCAGGTGATGTTCACGCCGACCATCTGCAAGGTGCGCTGTAGCCAAGACCGATGTGTCAACTACTGCGAGAGAGGCAACGTGACGACACTGTACAGCGGCGGCGAAGGAGGAGGAAGGAGAGACGGCTCTCACGGACCAGGCTTCAGAGTCTGTGAGTTGAAGCTTTAACTTTAAAGACCTGCATGTGAATAAATAACTCTGTCACAGAGAGGGACAGTGTCAGGTTCACTGCCATGTTTGCGTGCAGTAAATAATGCACACGTGCAGGTTTGTGCAGCTTGTCTTAAATCTGCTTCAAATTTAAATTCCTGCTGGAAGTTGGTGTAAAGCTTCCAGTATGAAGTGATGTGAAGCGATCAGCAGGATGTGAGCAAACTTTTATGTCCACGACATCCGTGTATTGTGTTGAAGAGATATCAGCTGAAGTCGAGTGAGGGCCAGCTGGTCTTGATGTAATCCCAGTTCAGACCACGAGATGGTGCTGTGCGACCACGCAGCCTTTATTTATGAAAATAATTGAGATGCAGAATTTCCCGTTCATGTCCCTGAAAACGTCGTGAAAACGCATTTGAGTCATTAATATGTTCTTATTTAAAATGGGCAGCGTCCAAATGTCCCGCAGAATCCTCTGTAGCTAAAAAACAAGCACTCACCGAACAAACACGAACCAGCAGTTTTACTGCGGGTTGTTTTTGACCTGCTTCACGTGACATGTGAATCACCAAAGGCTACATTAGCTTTGAACCATAAACCTCACAACAGCCATGTTATTGGTCACATATTAGTATTAACAAAGGCCCTGACAGCACAAACACGTCCAAAGGTCCAGTTCAGGGACTCCAGTTAGCTGAGGTGCAGCCGAGCAGACCGCTAACAGCCTCAGCCACATGTCAGTCAAAGAGCCCCCAATAATACAAATTTTAAGCCTTAATACAGTTTAAACAGGTGAGCTATAAAAACATTTTTTTGTGTACAGTTGTGATGAAGGCAAAATTATCTACACACCTAACAGATTGTGCATCAGGCTGTAAACATGTTTAGTTTTGCTGTAAAGTTTTGAATGGGAGTCTACGGGAACTGACTCACTGCTGACACCAGCCTCTTGTGGATGTTAAAGGAACTGCAGCTTTTGTTAATAGGTCTGCTTAATTCTTCTGTCCCAGCCGAGTCCACCACTGCTGGCAGTATCATCCGTTTTTGTGTTTTGTTGCCCATAAATAGCGAGGAGTGTTTTATTATCTTAATGCTGCTGGGGTTTCTTCTTCTTCTTCTTCTTTGTTTGAGGAATCTGGACATTCTTTATAAATTACTGTAAGTGTTGTCAGATGATCTCTGCCTAGATTTACTTTGCTAAAGTCGGATATTGGACTCTTGGACTTGAATCTGAGGTAACATGAGAGGCTCAAACCTGAGATTTACACCAAAATTTATAGCGAATGAGCTCAAGAAAATTCCAGCCCGTCAGAGATAATAACTCCTGCGCTGAACATTTGATCTTCACGCTCTCAATGAGGCTTCACGTGTGAAGCTGCTCCAGCTGAGTCATGTGACCTGCAGCTCTTTGATGGTTGGCAGAGTTGGGAGGCTGAAGCCCAGCCAGTGAATAGTTGTATAGTCTGATCTGATCCCTGGTCAGTGAGTGTTAATCGTTCCTGCTGGCAGCGAGTCGGAGCTGTCAAACAGCTCAGGACTCTCGCAGGAAGCACAGAGCGTCCAGCGCTGTTTAATTTAAACTTAATTAGTGGGTCGAAACACAAGCCAGCAGTTTATCTAATCACCAATCACTCGTTACATTATTTCCAACTGTAATTGTATCGCAATTACCATGATTCATATTTAATCTGCTTGGATCAGAAAAGCCCCACTAAAAAGGCTTCGAACTGGAAGTCAAACTCACACTGAGATAAGCTGAGTGCTTATCTTAATTCATCCCAAATTTCACAGCAGAACGATTTGAAAAGGGTCAAAACTAATCAAAAATTAAACATTTCAATATTCTTTTCCATAGTCAGACTGTTAAAACCTCTCAGGAGTGGAAGCTACATGTTACCAGATAATCTGCGAATTTAAATTGAGCACTTTTTAAAACCTTCCCCAGCAGGGGGCAGCATTTTACCAACAAGCTTAAGGCCTCATCTGAGCCGGTATTACACCAAGAGAAAATGCAGTATTTACAGTATTAATTTAACTGTTTGGCAGTTAGTTTTGAAGCTTTGATTGAGCTAATCCCATAAATTTATTGTTTTCAGTCTTAACAAATGGCTCATTGGCTCCCTCTTCAGGCTGCTGATGCAAAAGCATTATCAGCTTTCATTTTATCAGTGTAAACATTATTAGAAGTTCAGCACCATCATTTATTGACTTCACTGTCTCCAGCAGTGCAAAGTTACCCCAATGTTTCCTGTTTTGTTCTTTTTGGTGAAACTGAGCATGGTGCTGGTGATGGCTGCTCTCCATTTGAATACCAAACGGTAATTAAGTTCATACTTGGATGTTTTCTAGTTTGAGATTAGCCTGTTTATGCAATGAGCTCTTTGGGCAGATGCTCTGCTATTAAGGCAAAGGTCGTGAACGCTGGACTGGTGTCTGTGTAAGAGAAGCGCAATCTGCTGATTATCAGATCCCAAGAGTCAGGTGCCCTTTGTATGAGATACTCAAGATTCCTGCAGAGCGCGACTGACTCAAAATTAGAAAATGACAATGCTTTGATTGTAGTCATCCATATTTTCTGAACTACTAGAAAAAGAGACCAGGAGTCTGCAGTAAATTGTATCAGTTCGCTCATGTAATAAGCTGTTGCTACATGGCTAACATCACCAGTTTTCATCTCACCAGTCTAGAAAAGACGTTTAAAGTTCAGCATTATTGTTTATTCTTGTATTCTCTCCACGCTGTCTTGAGGGGTGGAAAGTGTTTGCTCTTGATTTTATTTTTTTATTTTTTATTTTTAACCAAGCATGGTTTCTTTCCAGGTGTTTCCCTGGCAACTTCCAGCACCATACCTAAATTTCTTAGAAAGAGCTGCTGCCTCAAACACTAAACTCAGGAAGTGGCAGTCTGTTTGCACTAAAGGTTAACAGTGATAACTGTCTGTGACTATTTGTAGGTCAGTAAACCATAAATCCTCCTCTGCAGAGCAGGAGGTGGTGGGGGGTGTACACCTGCAGATGTGTAGTTGTTCCTACCTCTGTTTTATGCTTTAAAGGCCTTTAAAGCATAAAACAGCTTTAAAGGCCTTTAAAGGCCTAAACCAAGGCCTTTAAAGGCCTTTAAAGGCCTTGGTTTAGAAAAGGGTTTTCCACAAGGGTTTTTTTATTTTACCCTCATTGATGGTTTGAAGAGTTTGCGCCATCGTATTTTCATGTTGATGAATACTGATGGCTGTTTGCTGGTTTTCTGGATATTTGTGCAACTTCTCTCCAGAAGTGCTACATCTGGAGAGAAGGAAAGGAATCAGAGGGGCAGAGGGAGAAGAGTGACCACTGACATATGGCTTTCATTGATCATAAAAATAGCCCCATCGCACGTCCCTGTGTTTCAGAGGACATCATAGTAACTTAGTTTGTTGGAGAGCCAACCTGATGGTGACTTTCAGCCAAGTTTTAATCAAGCAATATAACTCTTATGTCACGGGGGGGGCTTTGCTTTTTGTCGTCATAAGGATGTCAAGTCGTCAGTATGCGGACTACAGCTCTTTGTCCTCACAACATCAGTAACACACACACACACACACACACACACACACACACACACA